CTAGGATTTTGTTAAGTGGTGTGTAGTTTTATTTCTCCATAGTATTGTTGCTTGGTTTTTATATTAAGGTTATGCTTGCTCCATAGAATGATTCTGGGAGTGTTCTTTCTTTTTCTGTTTTTTGAGATGACTTAAGTAGAATTGGTGATAGGTCTTCTCTTAATGTTTAATAGAATTCAGTTGTGAAACCATCTATCTGGTACAGGACGTTACTTATGGAGAAGGTTTTTTATGACCTGTTCAGTTTCTTCTTTTGTAATGGGTCTTTTCAATTGTTCTACATCTGTCCTTGTCAGTCTGGGTAGGGAATGAGTTTCAAGGCATTTGTCCATTTCCTCTAGGTTTTCAAATTTATCAGTGTACCTTTTCATAGTATCCTGATAACTATTTCATTTCATCTGGTTCTGTTGTGATGTCACCTCTATCATTTCTTAATCAAGTTATCTATGTATTTTTTTTTTCTTTTTTCTCCCTTTTGTTAAGTTTGTCAGTGGTTTGTCAATTTTACTGACTTCTTCGTAAAACCAACTCCTGGTCTTATTAATTGTTACACTTGTTTTTCTGTTTTCTATCTCATTGATTTCTGCTCTTATTTTTATAATTTCCTTTCTTCTAGAGGCTATAGGAATGGATTGTTGTTCTTTTTCTGTTTGATGAAAGTGTTGAGTTAGATTGTTGATTTTGCTTATTCCTTTTTTAAATGCGTGCCTATTGCAATGAACCTCACCTTGAGGACTGTCATAGCTGTATCCCAGAGGTTTCGGTATGTTGTATTTTCATTTTCATTTGTTTCTAGGAACTTTTTTTAGTTCATTCTTTATTGCTTTTGCAATCTAATCATATTCCAGCAGAGAGTTTTTCAGTTTCCAAAGGGTGGTTTGGTAAGCTTTTCCCTCCTATGGTTAATTTCTAGTTTTATGGCATTGTGGTCTGAAAGGATACTTTGTATTATTTCAGTAATTAATTTGTTGAGGCTTGTTTTGTGTCCTAATAAATGATTGATTCTGGGTGATGTACCATGTGCACTTGAGAAGAAGGTGAATTGAGTTTTAGTTGCATGCAGTACCCTGAATACATCCACAAGGTCAAGTTGGCTGATTGTATAGTTTAGATCTTCTGCATCTTTGTTTTCTTTTGGGTTTACCTGTCCTTTGGTGGTAGTAGTATGTTGAAGTCTCCTACCACTATTGTGTTGATGTCTGTTTCGTTCTTCAATTCTGTTAAACATTGTTTTATTATTTTGCAGGTCTGTAATTTGGTGCATAAATGTTGACTAAGGTTATGTCTTCTTAATCTATTGTGCCTTTAATCAGTATGTTATGCCCTTCCTTATCTTATATGATGGTTTTCATTCTGAAGTCTGTTTTATCAGAGATTAGTATTGCTGCTCCTGGGGTATGTGTGTGTGGAGGTGTGTGTGTACCATCAAATTGGATCTGACTGGTACAGGAGAAGATTGCGCCTCCTTCTCCAGCAGATCACCCAGATTTGAACCATGCACCTCTAGGATGGTCCTACCTTTTTTTTTTTTAAATTTTATTATTTTGTGTGTGTGTGCCGTCAAATCAGATCTGCTCCTGCTTTTTTTTGAGGTTTCCATTTGCTTGGTATTTTTTTCCAGCCTTTGATTTTGAATCTGTTTTTCTCTTTTTTTTTTTTTTTAGATTTGTCTCTTGTAGGCAACATTTTGATGGGCTTTGTTTTTTTATCCATTCTGCTACTCTTTTTTTTCTCTTAATTGGTGCATTTAGTCCATTCACATTGTGTGTGATTATTGTCAGGGTAGGTTTCACCATTGCCATTTTGCTGTGTTTCTTTTTCTGTTGTTTCTGGTTGTTATGGTCCATCCACTTGACTTGGTGTCTCCATGTGAGGGACTTCACTTACAATTTCTTGTAGTTTTGGTCTTGTTTTTACAAATTCCTTAAGTTCCTTCTTTTCTGCAAATTGTTTTCTTTCAACTTTTTGTATATTCCATACCATTGCCTTCTAGCTCACATGGTTTCCAATGAGAAATCAAAATTTAATATAATTGTTTCCCCTTTATAGTTGACTCTGTTTTTCTCATGTTGCATTTAGTATTCTATTGTTATCTTTTAATTTGGAGAATTTTACTTTTATATATCCTGATGTTTTTCTAGTCTATTTGGTTTTCACTGCACTTCTTGAATATGGAGTTCCCTGTTCTTCAACTTGGGAAGTTTTCTTCTAGTACTTCTTACACAATTTTCTCAGTGACTTGCCTGTCACTCTGAAGTTCTGGAATTCCAGTCCTATCTATATTGTTCCTTTGGATGTCATCACACATGATTCTAATGTTTTCTTCATTTTCTTTCCATCTCATCTCTGATTTTTCTTCTAGTCTTTTTTCTGTGAGACTCTTGTCTTCCAGCTCAGTGACTCTCTGTTCCATATCCTCAGTTCTTCTTTTTAGTCCCACCAGTGACTTGGACACTTCCACCAATTCAGTCTTAATATTCTAGATTGCATTTTCATGCTTTTCTGTTATTTCCAGGATTGTGTTGGCTGTACCTGCTCTATCTTGTAATGATTATTTAAGTTCTTGTACCTCTTTATCAATACTCTCAATTCTTTCTTCCATCTTTTACATTTTTTCTATAGCTGTTCAAGTTGCTCCACATCAGTATATTTCTTCAGATTCCTATCTCTGAATTATTTGCTCTCTTAATGACTTCCATTGTTTCTTCCATCATTCACATCTTTTGTAGTTGTTCAAATAACGCCACATCAACATATTTCTTCTGGTTCTATCTGGAGTATTCATTGGGTCTGCTTTTTTAGGAGAAGGGTTATTTTTTTTTACATGATGACTGAGGCAGACTGCTGCTTTCTTAAAATTATGTAATTCTTTTCTTAGTAAATGTTAGGTTGTTGTAACTATATAGTGACCTAGAGTATGGCAGTGTTTTCTTAAGGGCCTGTAAATTTGTTTCTTTCTTAGGCCTCCTGTCTGAAGCAGGATGACTGTTAACCTCCAGAACCCATGGCTCAGCCTGGCCTTTTCTGCTTGAGCTTATAGAATCCCATGTGATGTAGCTAGAGCAGTGTTTAACCCGAAGTATCTGTTCCCTTCCAGAAACTGCATCTTGGCCTGGCTCAGCCTGACCCAGCCCCGTCTGCTTGAGTTTAAGGGATCCCGCATAATGAAATCTTTATTTTCTTGATTTTGAGCTTCAATCCATATTGAATGCTACAGTACTTGACCTTCTGTAGCAAAATCCTCATACCTCTTCACTTTCAGTAAGCAAGATTGTATCATCTACATTAAGTAGGTTGTTGATGAATCTTCCTCCAATCCTGATGCCACATTCCTCCTCATTAAATCCAGTCTCCCAGATGATCTGTTTTGCATATAGATTAAAAAGGTATGGATATAGGATGGATCTCTGATGCACACTTTTCCTAATCCTGAATCATGCAATATTCCCTGCTGTATTTTGACTACTGCTTCCTGCTCCAAGTATAGGTTTCACATGAGCATAATTAAGTGTTCTGGGATTCCCATTCTTCTCAAGGTTAGCCAGAATTTGTTGTGAACCCCATAGTCAAATAAATGTCTTTGTATAGTCTGTGAAAGACAGACATTCCTCTTGTACTTTCTGCTTTCAGCCTAGATACATCTTATATTGGCTGTGATGTCCCTAGTGCTATGAAATCTTCTAAACCCAGCCTGCAAGTCTGGCAGTTCTCTGCTGATGTACTGTTCCAGTCATTTCTGGAAAATATTCAGCAGGATCTCTTGCTTTCATGCGATAATAGTGATATTGTTTGTTAATTTCCACACTCTGTTGAGTCATCTTTTTTTTGGAATGGGAAATTCCATCGAACCAATTGGCAGCTTCATGATGGATGGAGAAGAGAGTGAGATTGTTGATAACTTGCTTGCTTGGTTCCACAAACAACACTCTTTGCACCAGCAGTCAGGAAATCAGAAGACTAATTGTATTGGGAAAGTCTGCTATTTAGGGACCTCAAGACCTCTCTAGAGTGCTGAAGAACAGTGATAATCGGTCTGGAGACTAAGGTGCGCCTAATCCAGGCCATGGTCTTCACAGTTTACTTGCTATGCATCAGAGAGCTTAACAGTAACTAAAAATGATAGAAGAAGGGTCAATGCTTTTGAGTTGTGGCGCCAGAGACTACCAGAATAAACAGGCCTGTTCTAGAGAGGGTATAAACAGGCTGCTCTCTGAAGGCAAAGATTTTGAAACTGTCTCACACACTCTGGGCATGTGACCCAGAACACCAGTCCTTGGAAAGGGACAGCATGCTTGGAAGAGTGAAGGGACAGCACAGGAGAGGAAGACCCAGGATGAAATGTATTGACTCAGTGACTGGAGCAATGGGATTGGGTCTGTCAGTGACAGTGTGATTGGCTCAGGGTAGGATAGGTCAGGTTTCAGAGCTAATGTTCATAGGGTCACTATGAGTCACAGGCAACTCGACAGCACATAAGAACAACACATTTTAAGTAATTGGTCCACATTTGAAATTATAATTCTTTCTTCTCTATAAGATTTTGTAACAATGACATTGTTTTAGGAAAATTAGTAATACCCATGAAGCATACATTTAGATGATGACAAGAGGAATGAGTAAGAAAGGAACAGATTTTAAAAGTGAATAGAATTAGATGATATTATAGCTCTTTTTTCAATCTAAAAGGAATCTACTAGCTTTCTTAACCATCTATTCCAAGAGATCTTTTCCTCAACAACAACAATGTAATTTTTATATTCGGAGTTTGTATATTCTTCTCTGGGGGGACTCTGGTAGCCTAGTGGTAAGGAGTTTTGCTGCCAACCCAAAGATGCATAGTTAGAATCCACAAGCATCTCTGTAAGAGAAACAAGGGTAGTCAACTTCTGTGAGATTGACTGCCTCGGAAAACCTGTTGGAGGGTCAGCAGTAAGTTGTTTCCGACTCAGTGGTGCATTGCAACAACAAAACAAATTATTCTTTTATGTGCTCTTCTGCAGGTTTTAGATGGAGCTGGATTAGATATTGATTTCCACCTTGCCTCTCCAGAGGGTAAAACTTTAGTTTTTGAACAAAGAAAATCAGATGGAGTTCACACGTAAGTAATGTTTTCTAGTTTAGTGTTTTAGGCTGAATAATAACAGTGAGGTGTGTACAGGGCAGGGTCAGTATTAGATTCTTACAAATGAACCTGTTAAACAGTCCTTAATAGAGGGCTGTCTTATAAACGAAAATGTCTTCTATTAGGGGGCTGTTTTGGCCTAGTGGTAAGAAGCTGCCCTGCCAACCCAAAGGCACTCAGTTTTTATTCACTAGTTGTTCCACGGGAGAAAAATGGAAAACCTGCTGGAGGGTTAGCTATGGACAGGACAGAACAACAATATGTGTTGAATTACATTCACTCAAAAGATGTTTTCAATCCTAACCTCTGTGCTTACTGTTATCATCCCTTCTAGGAATAGGTTGTCTGTGTTATGATAATGAGTCAGAATTAGTATAGGGTGAATTCTGAACGAATTTATTTTGAGGTAGAGATTAAACAAGTGAGTAGAGCACAAATAGAGGAAGAAAGATGCCACACCACATGATGATTGCCCAGAACAGAAGCTCAGAAGAATCTAGGATTTTCTTCCACAGCCAAGAAGAGAGGAAGCCATCTCCTAGATCTGGCACCTGAAATTTGGACTTCTGTCCTCTTAAACTGTGAGAAGAACAAATGTTTATTATAGTCACCCATTTGTGGCATTTGTTATAGCAGCATTAGATAACTGAGACACTTTTTTCCTTTGATCTTGATTTTATGTTTATTTTCTGTTGTTTAAATACATGAATGTTCTTTAACTACTGTTTTCAAATCTATTTTAGCTTTTTAAACTTGTCTTTGTGGTTATCATAGGCACTCCATTTTAATTAAGTCACTAAAGAAACTAAATACTTGCTTGAACAATATTGACTGTGCCATCTTTATCCATAGTTTTATTTTTAAAGCAATAGTATGATATCTTTGCATGTTGATATGTAATTGTATTTTCACTTAGACCTCATTTCTTCTTTTAAAATAATTAGATAAAGATCAGAGAGTGAGATATATTGCCTTAGAAAACTTAGAAATGCTTATTATAGCTCTTTGAACATGACAGGAAAACATATGTTCTTTTCTTACAGCTCTGTCCCTCTTTTAACAACTCACTAGTGTGTTTTCCACTCTATTATTACCATCATACTTTCTTTAGTCATGTTGCTATGGTGTTAGAGCTAAACTGAATTAATAAGAAGTAGACATATGAACAGATTATATATTGCTTATACCATAAACAAGTCTAAATTAATATTTCTTCCACCTAAATTAATATTTCTAGCCTATGATATAGATTTTTTTATTCCAGTCATAGAGACAAAGAGAATCATAGAAGTATTCATTTACTGCAAGGTGAAAATAGAATGAACCAAAATTATTTCTTCCTACTGTACAATGCTTAGACTGTCTTAGCACATAGTACCTTATAAGTACTAGCTGTTATAATTATAATTTTTATAGTTGTATACCATTGAGTCTGAACCAACCCATAGCTGACCCTCTGGCACATTTCTAGAGGCATTTAATCAAATGAGAGGAGACTGCCCATACTTCTTCTTCGGAGCAGCTGGTAGAGTTGAACCACATGCCTGTGGAGAGCTTCTTACCAGCAGAGCTTCTTACCACTCAGCCTCCCATTATAATTATTAATGTTTGTTAACTAAAGTGCTTGACATATAATTAGTTTAGCAAATAATTGGATGCATGTATGAATGAATTTGTTGGGCAATCTATAAACTGTAGTTTTCTGAGATACTTATTTCAAATAGGCTTTTAAAATGATATCTTCATCTATGCATAGCTCAGAAAAGTATTTACATAAACTATCAACTAGAGAGTCACCTTGGACTGAAATATTTGAAATACACTGCTCTCTACTAAAAATGTAGTTTAAGTTTCAGAATTTAAACAACGTACAGAATTCATGTCCATTTTTATTTCTCTCTAATCTTCTGTTTTTCTTAGCTATAAATTTAAAATACAATAAAGAAAAAGATGTCTTACTGCTTTCTTACATGAGATTATTATCTCTCATTAAATTATTAATTCTGAACCTAGATCTATGGAAAACATAGGTTGCTTTTATTTTTATTTACCAGTGAGGAAATTGCGGCATAGAGCAATTAACTTGCTAAAGGTTACACAGCTATTGACCAAGGAAGGCAGGATCTAAAGTCAAGCTGAGACAAATAATAATACAGGCATTCTGAAAATTTAAATTATCTAGCATAATAGAGATAAAACTTCTTTAAACCAACCTTACTTGAATAGTCTCAACAAAACTAAAACAGTGTGAACAGTGCCTTTTTATTTACTATGAACTATGGGAAAAGAGGGGGAAACATCAAAGTCAGTGCATTGGCCACTGGGTGGCAGTAAAGCATTGTGGCTAATATTGAGAATAGGCATTCCAGAACACTTGCTTGTGCTCATGCAAAATTTATACCTAGACCAGGAAACTGCTATATGAACAGAACAAAGGATCATTACATGGTTAAAAATCAAGAAACGAGTATGTCATGGTTGTATCCTTTCTCCATACCTTTCAATCTATATGCGGAACAAATCATTCAGGAAGCTGGACTTTATGAAGACTGTGGCATCAAGATAGGAAGAAGACTCATCCACAACCTGTGTATGCAGGTGACACATTATTTGCCAAAACTGAAAACCTGAAGTGTTTGCTGCAGTATTTCAAGGACTGTATCTTCAATATGGTTTGCAACTCAATATCAAGAAAACAAAAACTCTTCACTACAGGACTTTTGGCAGCATCATGATAGATGGAGGAAAGATTGAGGTTGTAAACAATTTCATCTTGCTCGGATTCACAATAAATACTCTTGGCACCAGCAGTCAGGAAATCAGAAGGTGAGTTCCTTTAGGAAAGTCTGCTGTCAAGGACCTCTGTAGAGCACAAAAGGTGTTAGTCTAGACACTAATATGTCCCTAAGCCAGGCCATGGTTTTCTCAGTTGCTTGCTGTACATCCAAGAGCTGGATAATGACCAAGGATGACGGAAGAATCAGTGCCTTTGAGTTGTGGTTCTGGAGAAGAGTCTTGAACATACCATGGACTGCCAAAAGAACAAACAGGTCAATGCTGAACATAGTAAAACTAGGTTGCTTCTTGGAGGCAAGGATTTTGAAACCCCATCTTACATACTTTGGGCATGTTTCCAAGAGGAACCAGTCCTTGGAGAAGGACATCATACTTAGAAGGGTGGAAGGACAGTGTAGGAAAGGAAAACCCTGGATAACAAGGATTGACACAGTGACTGTGACAGTGGAGTCAGGTGTGTCAGAGATGGTGAGATTGGGTCAGGATAGGACAGAGGTCAGAGCTATAGTTCATAGGGTCACTAGGAGTTTTATATAGTCCATTTGATGGCACAAAAACAACAAAGCGAGCTTATGGGAAATAATAATACCAGGAATTTGAGAGAAACAATAGAGGGTTTAAAATTTTGATATAAAGAAGAGGACATGCTAGAAAAGAAAATATTATCTTAGAAAAAAAATTAAAGCTTTCATTGTTGAAGTGAAATTGTCTTTTACAAAGACTTAGTTTACTGAAAGTTTGCTTTTGTACTGCCAAATCCAGTATCCAACAGTTCCATATCTCTTAGCCCCACCTTTTAGTAACTTGGCATTTGGGGTCCTCAGAATCACACAGAGATGAATAAAAACTTTCTGGGTTGAGTGATTGCATTGAAATCACATATGATGCCTGCTGTATATGGAGGGAAGTGTGCTATTAATGTCTTCAGCCTTACTCATGAAGGGCATGTACATTCACCTCTCTTTTTCTTAATTCAACATAGGCATTCCTTTTCTAGTTTCTTGAATCTCCCTGACCTCAGACATATTCATTTACCACAAGGTGGTATTTGGAGAGTTGAAAGGAAGGACCTTTACCTGAGTTAGACTTTTCAGCTACATCAGTCTTGCCCTATCTTTTGATATATAATGTTGTTTTTATATGCCATCAAGTCCCTTATGACTCATAGCAACACTATATACAATAGCCCTGAAACATGCACTATCCTGTGTCAACTTTACGGTCTCTGACACACCTACCTTCATTACCCCAGTCACTGAATCAATCTATCTCATTTATGGTCTTCCTCTCTTTCTCTGTCCCTCCACCCTTCCAATCATAATGTCCCTCTCCAAGGACTGATCCATCCTTGCAGTATGCCCAAAGTATGTCAGATGAAGTCTCAGAATCCTTGCCTCCAAGTAGCAGCCTGGTTTTACCCTATCTAGAACAAATCTGTTTGTTCTCCTGGCAGTCCATGGTATATTCAACAGTCTTTTCCAGCACTGCAGCTTGAAGGAATCACTTATTTTTATGTCATCCCGTCATTGCCCTGCTCTCTAATGCATAGCAAACAATTGTGAAGACCATGGCCTGTATCAGGTGCACCTTACTCTCCAGCCTGTAGTCGTTGCTCTTCAGTATTCTGGAGAGGTCCCTGACAGCAGACTTTCCCAATACAATTCATCTCTTGATTTCCTGTCTGCTGGTACCAAAAGTGTTGATTGTGGAGCCAAGCAAACTAAAGCTGTTAACAGTCTCAATCTCTTCACCATCTATCATGATGCTGCCAATTGACCCAGTGGTATGAACCTTTGTTTTATTGATGTTGAACTTCAATCCATATTGAAGCCTGCAGTCCTTGACCTTCTGCAGCAAGTGTTTCAGGTCCTCCTCAGTTCGAGCAAGCAAGGTTGTATCATCTGCATAAATTTCTACAAGGATCTATGTTTCACTGGAAATAGTGTCACCAAAGATATAACTTGGGTCTTCCTTAATATCAGGTATAATTATGTAAATACTACATGGCAATCAAAAGGAAGTATAGGCAGAATGTTCTAAGGCAGTAGGAAGCATAAATCAGCTTCAGGTTTAACAAGAATAGAGACACTTTGGATATCAGAGAGCTCTAATGGCAGTCTCCTCCCTTGTGATTAACTGCCTCTGAAAACCCACTGGAGGGTCAGCTATGGGCCTGTTAC